CGAAGGGGAGGCCAACACCCATATATGTTAGACAGTATTCGGTCAAGAGGACCAAAAGGGATGCCAACACCCAGGTATGCTAGGCAATATCCGATTGAGAGGACCGAAGGGGTAGGTCGGGCAACCAGATATTCCTGACAGTATATGTATGTTATGTGAATATATGGTATGTGGTATGATGGGGGAATTCACTAAGCTTCGTGCTTACGATTTTCAGTTTTGGTTTCAGGTACTTCGTCTTCAAAGGAAAGGAGCCGACTCGATCGCAGCGCATCACACTAGGGTTTTCCGTATGTGAGATCTTTGGGATTACACTCTGATATTGTTTTATGATAATATGTTTTGACTGTTTCTACTTAGGTTTTTACATGACATGATATTATGGATGTTATCCTATACAGTTGGTTTTATAATAACTTATTTAAAAATGAAATTTTGGCCTTGAATTTTGGGACGTTACAAGTTGGTATCAGAGACTTCGTTTGAGGGATTCGGGCACACTCCCGTGCGTGTCTGAACTCAAACTAAGGACTTGGTATAAAAAATTTCAAAAGTAAAATCATTTTATAAAAAGAAGTTTGAAAAGAGAAAATGACTTTGAAAAGAACAATGTGTGTGATGCATACAATCAGCCGAGCTCAAGTAAGTTTTCCCTAAGATACTCATACATGTTATGATATGTTATGTTATGATATGATTATGTAAACTACATGCTAGATTAGGGCTAAGGATCTAGGAGAATGCCTTATATGCCTATTATATGTGCTTGTAGACTTGCATGCTAATACTGATCAGTCAGTGATAGGATAACCTGTTTAGGTTATGCCTGATTGTATGAGCCTTTGAATTGCATGTACAGATTCCTGATTAGAGGATAGAATGATTTGATTGGAATATGTTGGTTAGATTTTCCATTGTTTGAATGCTGCTTGCTTTGTGCTTTGTGGGACTTTTAGTAATGTGAGCTAGCTATTAAGTGAATATGCTAAGTCACATGTGGCACAGGCTGGATAATCTCATAGTGATAGATTTGACCCTATTGCACAACTTTTGTTTGAGTCCAACCGTTCTAGGGATGGGTCTTTTACTCGAAGGATTATCTGATCTCTGTTGCATGTAGCGATATTCATGAGGTAGCTAGTTGACATTGCTAGAAACCTTTCAGCAGATGAGGACTGGGTGGGTACGGGAACCTAGGAAAGCCTAGGATATGTTTCAGTGGGTTAGTAGTGAGGCTTAGTGAGAATTGGGTGTACCCGTTTGTGGAAGTGACTCGGAGGATTCAGGAGGATTACTAAGGAAAGTATGGATAGGTGTGGAAGGTAGTATTGGGCCCGTACTACAGAAAGCACATGATCCATACTCAAATCAGTAAGAGTCTTGGAGAATCTGAGAAGCTTCGGGGAAGAGTTTATGACCCAGTTCGGGATAGAGGATGTTTCAGTCGTTGCAGCTTAGCCATTGGCAGGTGAGCTAGTGAGCGTGACAGGGTGTTAGACCCTGAAAGATATGATTTCCAAGAGTTGCAGATGCAAGGTTGATTTGGAGTACCCTGGGAAGAGAGGGTCATGCTAGGTGTGTATAGTAGAAGGGTCCGGGAAGAGACCCATGACTTTCGATCATCAGGTGAAAGGTCGGCAGGGCCAGAGTCAGTACATCACGTACAGGGAGGTGCACGAGGAAGTTTGTCGCTCCAAGGGCTTAGGCTACTACAAGGTAGCGGGGTTGGTTATGCCAGTGAAAGGTGGTAAGGATTCTTGGGTATATTCGAATCCTTGGAATGTCAGTTCAATATGGTGTTAAGCACCCAAGAGTGAGATTCAGATTCTGCAGCCAGACCGGAACCTAATATTTCAGATGACAAACGGGTGAATTGAGACCAGGAAGGTATCGATAGATTTTGGGAAGCAACCATGTAGCAGCATACTGCTTTAGGAAGTTTAGTGTTTGGGCGGTTCCAGTGTTTGGGCAGTATTAATATTGGTGTTGTTGGTTAAGAGTACGAATGGAATAACAGATTGCTTGGGTTAAGCTAAGTCAATCGCAGCGGGATTACCTGAGCCTTAGCTAAGTATAATTGACCAACATGGATAATTGGGTCTGTGACACTGTTTATAGTGGGAACCGCAAGTGATCAGAAGTTGAGTAGTCAGTTGCAGGATAAACGGGTTGTATTCAACAATAATGATCCATTATGAGTAGTCTATTAGGGAATCAAACTATCTCAAGACAACAAATTTTAGACGAAGTAGATGTGATCTTGTTATGAGGAATTCATTCACCTACGGAGTTTAGGTCTCTGCGAAGACTGGTCAAGGCTACCTTGGGAAGGCTAGGGTGTGCCCAAGTTGGTGACCATGCTACTAGCGTGGTTGGACAAGTAGGCAATGGTAAGGAATGATTTCGAGGACGAAATCTAATTTAAGTGGGGGAGAGTTCTAACGCTCGTTTGTTTAAATAAAATTAAAAAGTGTAAGTTTTGGGCTTCATTTGTAAAGAATATTGAAGGCAGGGGTTAAAAAGGTAATTTATGGGTTGCTTTGCAAAAGATTCTCAAGTGGAGGGCTATTTGGTAAGTTTTGGACTTAAAATGAAAGGAAATTATGGAGTTAGGGGCTAAAAGGTAAGATTTGGATTTAAATTGGAAAAGATTTGGGTGGGGAGGGGCCGATCTTGTTAAAATGGATGTAAGTTTGGGAAACATGGTTACACTCATCAACTCCCCTCATATATATATATATATATATATATATATATATAGGAAGGGTTATATGGAAAATAGCGCAACAACTCCTTAACCAATGAAAACATGAATTACGTAAATGGTCCGTATGGTTTGGTATAATTTGTGTAGATATCCCTAACTTCTATTTTAGAAAATATGGTTGTTTCAATTGTAATTATGGTTTTAAACCCACGATCAAAGAAATTACAGTTACCTTTAACGATTAAAAACTAACATCAAGAATTTTTAGTTTCCAACTTCCGTTCGGATGAAAGTAACACGTGTTAATTTAAAGAAGTAATGGAAGTTAATATACACTTTCCTTTTAAACCGATGGATTTCCATTGACATATTTAAGAATAAATACAAATCTTATGAATTTGTAATTTATGACTTCTGTTTTAATTCAAAGTGCTTAATTAATAATATCAAGCATTAATGGAAGGAAGTTATATTTTCATTCATCCCAAAAAGCCTAGTAAGTTAAAGGATGTTTAATTCAATAAATTAGACAATTATTTGAATATGTAATGGTTGTTTGAATATGCAACAACTTTGTTCATCATAAAAAAAGGTTAACCGTCAATCACGTCCCACTAAGAATGAATTTTGCAAATTTAAGAATACTCAAGATCTAAAACTGTTTGATAGTTATAATTTATCCATAATTTAAAATATAATAATTTTAGGATCAAACACACAAATTATCCTAATTTAGAGGGACCATTCGTGTAATTCACCCATTAGAGAATAAAGTAACACGTGTCAATTATTCATTGGATCCTAACTTGATGCTCTAGTTTTTATTTTCCATAGAACTTAATCCTATATATATATATATATATATATATATATATATATATATATATATATATATATATATATATATATATATATATACGGTTAAGTTCAAATAAGAACACTATTTAATTAGAGAACGTGAGAACACTACTTTATGTTAAATTTAATATTTATACTATTGTAGTAATTATAATATGAATATATTTAATTTTATATTGGTATTCTACTATAAAATTTATATATATGTGTAGTAATTTAGTAAATTCTAATGTAAATGTTAAATATGTGATTGTTCATATATTCGGTGATGAATAATGTCATAAAGTTGTATATAAAAATTTTAATGTGAATATTAATGTGTGATTGTTCGTATATTTGTTGATGAATAATGTTATATCACTGTATATACAAAATTCATCGTAGAATAGTAACGTAGAGTGGTGTTCTCACGTTTTCACATTTTGAACTTAACCATATATATATATATATATATATATATATATATATATATATATATATATATATATATATATATATATATATATATATATAGTTAGGTTCATTTGAGACCACCTATATTTTGTGAGACCGTGAGACGCATTTTTTTATTTTATTTTATTTTATTTTATTTTATTTTTTTTAGTTAATTCATGTTCCGAAAATAATATTTAAAAAAAGAATTTTTTGATTTTTCCATTTATTTTGCATTTTAAAATTATTTTTAGAATATGTACAGTGTAATATTTTATTTAGAATACTTCACGTATTTTTCAAAAAAAAAAAGATTTTTTTTTTATTTTTTTTAATTTTTTTTAGTTAATTCAAGTTCCGAAAATAATATTTAAAAATTTTTTTTTTAGATTTTTCTATTTATTTTGCATTTTAAAATTGTTTTTTAAAATATGTTAGTGTAATATTCTATTTAGAATATTCACGTATTTTTCAAAAAAAAAAAACGGAATTTTTTTTTAATTTTTTTTTATATTTTTTTAGTTAATTCAAGTTCCGAAAATAATATTTAAAATTTTTTTTTTGGATTTTTTCATTTATTTTGCATTTTAAAATTATTTTTAGATTTGGTCTCATGGTCTCACAAAATTAGAATGATTTCAAATGAACCTGAACCTCTATCTATATATATATATATATATATATATATATATATATATATATATATATATAAAAGTAATAATTACTTTGAATAGAATAATCTAATCCATAAAACTACATCACATTTATTGTGATGTATTACGAATCATTACATTTATATGAAGTTTACTAAAAAAGAATAAAAAATGATAAAATAACATATAGAAAAAATTAATTTAAATTGATCATAAATAACATATGATAAAGTAAATTAGAGAATAATATATGATAAAAACTATTTTTAATGATAAAATAAATTAGAGAATAATATATGATAAAAACAATTTTTAGTTATTAGAGTGGATTTAAACTCATTATATTCTTAGTAGGATCGTTCCATGGATAATACTTCTTTGTTATGGATATGTTAAAGCTTATTTATTTGTTGATGTTAGTACAAAAAAACTTGATGAAAATACTATAAATTACTTTCATATAGGCAATATACATTTTCAGAAACATGAAAATTACAACCAAATATTTAAAAGCAACATTTCATTTATTTTTGTTCTTCTTCTTCTTCTTGAGTTCTTCTTCAAAGGTTAAACATAACCTTAATGGCACTGCCGCCACGTGCACTCGTCTCAAAAGCTTCTTCCACTTCCTTCTGAGAGAAACCAAATCTATGAGTTATCAATGGCTTCACATCAATCTTCCCACTTCTCAAAAACTCCAAACACAAAGGCCACGTGTTCTTGTACCGGAAGATCCCCACCACATCAACCTCCCTAATCAACCACCACCACCACCACCACCATTCAGTTTACCGGCAACCAAATCAAATTCTATAAACAGAGTTCAAAAAGGAAACTCACCTGGCGGCTGCCGGAGTAAGCGGAACAGTCATCTCATGGTGGCCCATCCCCACCAGACACACTTTGCCGCCGGCACGTGTGGCGGTGAGAGCCGTTGTCATTGTCTTGTTGAAACCTGCACAATCAAAGCTCACATCCACGCTACCTCCCATGGCTTTCTGTATCGATTCCACTTCTCCTTCCACATCCTAAGTTCATTAAACAAATAATTTCAGCCGATCGATTTGCAATTAAAAAAATTTAGGGTTTAGGGATCGACAAAACAAAACCTGAATATTAATCGAGACTTTGATGATTTCATCTGCTCCAAGCTCTTTTGCGACTGACAACCGGCTGTCATCAACATCAACAATCACGATCCTCGGAGCTCCAAAAGCTCGAGCAGCAAGCATGGTGACAAGGCCGATGGGCCCCGCCCCCATGACCAAAACATTTGTTTCAGGGCCTATATTAGCACGACGACAAGCATGGACTCCGACACTCAACGGTTCACACATCGCACCTTCTTCCAAACTCACATTTTCCGGCAGTTTGAAACATAAATCCGCTGGATGCACCACCTGTTGATTGAACCCATAATCAAAATTAGGGTTTCAACATCTTATTGGGGACGATGACGATGTAACAGTATAAACTTTACCTGATTGGCAAGAGATCCGTGGACGGGAGGAGTGGCGAAAAATTTCATATCCGGGCAAAGATTGTATCTGCCTTCTTTGCATTGTGTGCATCTCCAGCAGCTAATTCCAGGCTCAAGAGCTACACGATCACCAGGGACAAGATCCTTCACGTTGCTCCCAATTTCTTCAATCACACCAGCACATTCATGTCCGATAACCATCGGTTCTTTCACCACAAAATCTGCACATCTTAATGTCTGCGTATGTTTTCATAGTAAAATTTGTATCGGGAATCAATTACATCGATTGTTACTTTGTATATTCTATCAAGCAAATAGCAATAATAATCAAGAAGCATCCATAATTCAAAAGAGGATTCTGATTATTCAATTTGGCGAAATCACATATCCAGAATCCGATGAAACCCTAAAAGGAGTGAGGGGGATGATGACGGACCTTGAGATAGTGAACATCACTACCGCAGATACCCACAGCTTTCATTCTTACTCTAACATCATAAGGCCCTGAATCAATTCAATCAAGTTGGTCAACTATTGAAATTAATCTCGATTTACTTGTACAAACTTGAAATTAAGAAGTGGAAGATGAAGATAGAAAGGATACCAAGAGGCGGAAGTTTAAAGGGCTGGATCTTGAGGGTGTTGATGGAAACAAGCCAAGCAGCCATGTTTTCTTCTTCAACATTTGAGCCATCACTCTTTCCTCCCTTACCCATCTCTCAATCTCTCTACAACTTCACAATGATCGATGAGGCTTGATATCGCTAATTGGTCTTCTTGGCCCTTGTGGTGATATACTTGTCTATTTTCTGCAGTTTTTATTAATTTGTGATACCAAAAATTATAAATTTGGATAAGAAAAGGTTGTAAAATTGAAAATTGGAATCCAAAGATAAAGGTGAAGATTAAAATAAAATTCTTGCATCTCATCATACGTCTAACTAGTCACATATTTTAATATTTTATGAAAAAAGGATTGTAACAGAGGTATGGACGATCGGACTAGATATACACGTGTATTATCACAAATTCACATATTTTAATACTTTATCCAATCTCACTATCATCATTATTCAAATGAACTTCGTACTTTTCTCTCACTGGTATGGGATGCGAGATAAGGGTGTGCGGTATGGTATGGGGCATCACTCCTACGCCTGATGTCGACATCGCTCTAAAGATGGATAGGTATCTTGTGGCGTGATGCCCATTAATTGGTAGAGCATTTGTTTGTGTCTATTTCTCTCTACGATCTCTCTTTTCTTCATCGTCACTTCACTAGGGAACACCATTTCCACAACCTAGTAGGTTGGTTGTGGAATTGTTAAAATAATGACATGGCTTTTTTTTTCTTCCCTTCTTACAGGTGATAATACCTCCCAGCCTAATTGTAGGGATAACAAGGAGTAAACTTTAGAAGTTGTCCCTAGGTCTGATTAACATGTTTAATCTAATACTCAGTTGATATGTGCAAAAAACCGCAAAACCCAAAAAACTAGCTGAACCGGCTGATCCTAAATTGAAAAAAACTGAAACTGATAAAAGCTGATCCTAATTTAGGTATCCGCAGATAACCGAACTATACCGTTTTATATATATATATATATATATATATATATATATATATATATATATATATATATATATATATATATGTAAAGATTAACAAATAAAATCTCGTTTAACATCACTGGAGTGAAGGCTACCACTAATAGTTAAAAATGATTAAAGAAAATAAAGAATGTGTAACATCATCTGTCCCATCATTTCTTATTTCAGGATCGTGGTGTGAAAGTCGATTGTGTAAAGGCTTTGGGCCTTAAGGATGTAATGTTTAGACCTTTTTGAAGGAGATAATGATGGTTATGAGATCTAAACCTTTGAATTGTGTTTTAGGCCGAAGGGTAGAACGGAAAAAGTTATAAGTCGGGTTCTTGCATGAAATATGGATTTTCATTCAAGAAGTTTTTAGTCCAATATATTTAGATAATATTGTAGAGCTCTTCAATACCTTTCTATGGATATAAAGAACTGTTGGATTAGTGTCTAAGTCCATAACTATTTTGGTATGTACTTGACCCGATGGTGCATGGTCCTTTTGGGTTGCCTTCACCAAAGCAACTTGATAGGATGATTTATGGAGAGTAAGGATTAAATATGATTTATTAATGTATTATGAGAATAATATATTAAAGGAGAAATCATATTGTTTAATTAATATTAGTCAATAATTAATTGGTAATTAGTTTTGTGACTAAAAGAGATTAATTAAACTTAAGGGACTGGAATTGTAACTATAGGATAATTGCAATTTGGGCATGGATTGCCTTATATTAAGGGATGGACGAATTCTAATGGGAAACCCATAAGGAAATCGTCCATGGGCTTAATTAAAGGAGTCTATGGGTTGCTTAGGGCTTAAGCATCCAAATTAGGGTTTCCTTGTTAGATAACCCTAATAGCCCAACTATATAAAGACCCCTTAAGGCTCAAAAACGGGGCTAAGCTTCTTGTAAGGGTTTACACACATTTTTGGCAGCCTCCATCCTCTCTCCTCTTCATCCTCTTGCTTATGGTGTTTGTGAGCCATTAGAGGAGTGACACTTGTGACTCTAAGCCTTCCAAAGTTAATACAAGGAGATTTGGGATTGTTATTGCTACATAACAATCAAGGTAACACTATAAACTTATTCTCATGTTAATATGATTATATGTATGCTAGAATTAGGGTTTATAGTTTGGATTCAAAGCATGTACAATAGAGAAACCTAGATCCAAGCATTAGGGTTTGTATGAGCACATAGGATGTCTTATGACCAAAACCCATCAGTGGTATCAGAGCCTAGCTTGGTTTCAATTGTATTGATGCATTGTATAACTGGAAAATCGTTTTTTGGGCTTTATGGCTGAGGAACTCGGCGAGTACCCCTCAACTCGGCGAGTACAGTGTAGTACTCGGCGAGTTCGAGCGTCAGATAATGCTTATCTCGGGATTTCTTGCTGTTTTTGCATTGGATAGTTACCTTATCATGTTAGATCAATATAAATCCGATTTTATGATATATATGACTATATTCTTGATCTAATTAAAGATAATTATCAATTAACAAGATAATTGTTTCCTTATAAGATAATTGATTAATTATTTTGAGTAAATTGATAAATTGTTTTGCAAGAAATCATTAAATAAATCAAATATGGATAATTATGTGATTAAATGTTAATTTAGATTATTTGTTATTTGATCCTTGTTGTTATGAAAAGTTTCATATTTTCCTTTAGGTTTTATAGTTTAAATTTGAACCAAAAGTTTTGTTGTTTTGAAATTTAAATAGTTAAAACCCTAATGTTTTGAAAAAGGTTTCAAAACTTGCCCTCAAGTTTTGGAATTTAAAAGTTGATTAAAGGTTTAATTAGAAATGTTAAATTCTAAAACCCTAGTAATGTTTTGAAAAGTTCAAATCACACCCTTATGGTTTTATTAATTAATTAAGGAGTATAATTAAAAGAGGTTTAATAAATCCATAAAAGTTTAGGTTAACCATTTAATTGAATTAAAAGTGTAATTGTTAAAGTTAACCATATAGTATTTTAAAAGTGTAAAATACACCCTATACTATATATATAACATTAAAGTCTAACATATATATATATGTATGAGTAAAAGTCAGTCTTACCGTTAGTAGGCCTCATTCACGAAGCTGGTCTATAAGGGGTGTTTAAGGAAATTGCCTATAAAATGGCGATTGAATGGGTATCCACTCTTACCCACCGCACTCTTGACTAGTGGAGGGTCGTTAGCCGAACGGGTAGGATAGGACGAAACCTTCCATTATAAGTATAATGAAATACAAAGTAACTAAATGTTTTTCAAATTCCCAATCTTAGTTACTTAGGCAAAAGTGAATTGATGCAATTCCATGAAATTACACTTTGTGCCCTTGCGAAGACGTTAGTGGAGCGTGTGTGGTTTACCGGCACACTAAATGGTTCTAAGCAAAGGTAGCAAAGGGTGACTCAATGTTTGTCATAGTTCGGTGGAGCGTGTGTGGTTTACCGGCACATCGAATAGGTGATTGTAACATGTGAGGGCACCATGTAGTTTGCATGGTTATTCACACCCGCTTTGTGATCCTCGGCATCCCAGTCACAAACAAGAGGGGCATATCGAGATTTAAACATGCCATTGAAATGTTCAATGAATCTCAAAGGATCTAGGAGTTTTCATAGATTTAAAACTTAAATTTCTTTTTCGTTTTTCATGGTGGAAATAGTGAATCGTCATTCACTTACCTTCAAATGTTCTGCAATTTGGGTTACGGCATCCCTCTCCCGAGTTGTAGGATATTGTGTTGGGTCCTAGCCTTGGAATTTCATTTGGGTGATTTACCAAGGACTCAATCAATCAACTAACTTGAATTCGTTTTTCTCCCGATGTCAAAGTTCGACAACTATGGTCTTCTCAAATCCCGTGGAACAAGCATTCCACATGAAGATGATATTCCACGATTCGATCGAGGAACAAGAAATCATGCTTCACTTCCTCCTCCTCCTCCAATTATTCTCCCTAACCCACAAGATTGTAAAATTGAAAGGTTCAATATCACTCAAGCCCTTTTGGCAAGTAAACATAAAGAGGGCAAGTCGGTGTGTGCACACGTCTTAGGGATGAAGTCACACATTGATAGATTAAGAATGATGGGATCCGTTGTCGGTGAAGCAATGGCTGTTGATTGGGTTCTTCAGTCACTTCCTAACTCGTATAGTGAGTTCGTAAGAGAGTACTATATGATGAACCACGACGTGACACTTATAGATCTCACCTACATGCTTATTGCTGCTGAATCAACAATGGTTTGGCGCAATAGAAAAGCAAAGTTGATTGGTGAATCTGCCTTCAAGACCTCTATGGATATAGACAATGGCAATGAAAGACATGCAATGATCGAAAAGTTTGATCATAAGAGAAAGGCGATGTCTGAAGTAGTTCCATGTGTTGTTCCAAAAGAGTCAATTTGCTTTTATTGCCAAGAGAAGGGGCATTGGAGACGAAGTTGCCCTATTTACCTAAGAGATCTAAGAGATGGGAGAGTCAAAAGTATGACTACGCTTTAGGTAAGAATCCACTATCTAACTCCATTAAGTTCCTATTCATTGATTCTTAATACATGATGTGATAAGATTGCATTTGAATGTTTTGAAGGATCGGTGAAAAGAAAGGAAGCTTGATAAGAGAGCAAGATGAATCTAATCACAAGAGATGGATCTTGATCGCATGGACTTGAAGATTGGATTTTGAGCTTAGATAGTTATGATAGAGTTGTTAGAAATTTTCTTTTTACATAGTTTTCAATAGATTTTGCATTGTAAGGACAAATGTTTTTCCGCTGCTTTTATAAATAAAATAAATTTTGTTTGACTTATTTATTTGTTTACTTCCTTGCAATGAAATCATTATGAAAATTGATGTTTGCATATTTCTACAAACGAATGGATATGATTCTTAGTTATGTTATTTATGGAAATGTCAAGTGAAGGACTAGGAGATCGAGTACACAAAGTTGTGTGTTGATCGAGTTCACCATAAGAGTAACAAAGATATTCGTCATGATTTACTAAAGGCTTAGTAAATATGATTACACTTACAAGATTAAGTGTAATTTTGAATTGATTAAAGGGTTTAGATCAATAGCAAAACGAATAAGAAGAATCAAGTAGGCAGAAAGATAAGAGTTTCTCCATTCTAAGAAGAAGGGAGAGTAGCTTTTATGCTTTATGATAGGTCTTAATGATTAAGAACCATATCTCAATTGATCCTCTAAGTGAGTCTTAGTACAATTGTATGTTTAAGAAGAGGAATCAAGGATTGAAGAAATGGTCAAATCAAGAAGTCAATCATACTTCGTTCCAATAACAAGTCTTAAAGTTAAGATTGTGACAATGAGTGAAAAGTATTAAAGGTTTATAACATTCATCAAATGTGGAAAGTTGTGATGTCTTGGATAAGACAAAGACCAACTAAGACCAATTATGAAGTGTTTTGATAAAAGCTACACTAACTCTTGAATATTTGTTTGTCAAGAAATGTTTTGATAAGAGAATCGTATATGTCAAGGAGTCAGTGGGAGTCTTAATAGTCTTGAAAAGTTTCAAGAACAAATCAAATAAACCTTATCGATCATCACTAGCACACGAGTTGAGGTTTACAACC